CACTCTGGCTGCTTTATAGGGAAATAGTAGCAAGGTGAAGATGACCACAGGGAGGTCAGTTGGAAGTCTGTGATATCTAGCTGAGAGATGAGAGTGGCTGAGAGCAGGATGGTAGCAGTGTTGGTGGTGGCAAATGGTCAGGTTTCTGTAGGAGTTTAGCACAGGGGGCTTGCTGATGGATTAGATGGGGGTGAGAGAAAGAGATGTGTGAAGGATGACTCCAGGGCGTTTGGCCCGAGCAAAAGGAAGCCATCGTTATTTGAGAAGGAAAGGAGCTGAATTAGAAACTTGTGTGTTCCTCAATGAGGTACAATATCTCATGTGATTGCACTCAGGTAGAAGGAAATTCTGGAGGTAAGGGGAGGTGTAAGAATCAACTTTGGGTAGATTATGCAATAAAGGTGATTGTGAGGTAGAGAGCTACATCTCATGTTATATTCATTAAGTGGTTGGTATAGAAAACATTCTACAGCCAAATCTGATAACTCTTAGATTCTGTAACTTCTTTCTGATCAGGGATAGGCAGAGATATGCAAAAACATGCATAAAGACCTATGCAGGCAAAATTGAGTCACAGGCACCATATGTCTTCATTATGAATGAGGGCAATAAAAGTTATTTTTGCAAAATTATTATTTTTTCATCAGGGCTACTTTTGTACTCATTATTGTGATTATTATGTACAATGAATATTTGGTTCTAAGAAACAAATGGAACTGCTGATGAAAAGAATGTGTACATGCTTGTTGAGCTGCTTAATAAATAACTATTTGATGATGATTCTGCAGTATGTTTAAAGGGTAATTCTTCTTCTGTTGCTTTAGAAAATTCATTTGGCATTCTAAAAATGGATGTAATTTCAAGCAGTGGCCAAAATGTATCAGTTAGCCTGACATCTAGGTCTTTTTAGCAGATCTATAAATTTCCAATTTCCTTTGCCATCTTAACCATGGTAAATCATCCTGAACAAGATCAGTCTTTTGAACAACAGCCTCCTTATTAACTGAAATCAATTGAGATTAGAAAATGAAAAATACACTAGATGCTGAGAACTCTTTATGAAACCACATTGGTAGGATGAGTATTGTATGAAGATAAATGTGTTATTTTCAGCTTCTACATCATTGATTTAAAAATTCATTCTCTATATCCCATTGCTGGATTAAACACTAATATATATTTGGATGGTTTACTTGCTTATAAGTGTTATCTTTTCCTTATTGAGGTTATGTATTAATGGAAGGGAATTATTTTTAATTCAAATGTATCATGCTTTACACATCACATGCATTTCTACACATTAAATTGGTTAAAATTGATTTATTGAATTATAAATTAATGACTAAATCCTTTGTTTTAATTTCTGATTGATTTTATTTGCTCTTTGGATAAAATACATGATGCTTTGCCCCCCCGTGTGGACTCTATGTGATCAGGACTCCACCTACCCTTAAAGGCAGTCTGACAGCACTGTCCTCTTCTGTCTCCAAACCCCATCTACCCTGGCTTTCTTTTAAATCTTAATATTTCACACTCAATATTTTTGCACATATTGTCTAAAAATTTAGTTCTTTAGCACTGCCTGCCTTATTACTTTCTTAATTAATGAATTGCCTTTTTTCCCTTAACAAGAAAGTAGCCTCCAAAAAATACATGGATTTTAGTCTTTTTTCTTCACTGCTGCATCTCTAGCATCTAGAATTGTGTTGGGTATATAGTATGCACTGAGAAAAGATGATGAATGAATGAATAATTCCTCACCCTGGAATACCAATTTCCCTTCTCTACATCTAGGTAACTTCTATTCGTCATCTGAGTTCCAGCTTAAATGTCACTTTTTCAGGCCATCTTTTTAAAAAAAAATTATTTTATTATGTTTAGTTAGCCAAAATATAGTACATCATCACTTTCGAGGTAGTGTTCAACGATTCATTAGTTGTGTATGCTCAGCACAATTGTGCCCTCTTTATACCCATCACCTGGTTGCCATCCTCCTACCCGCCCCCCCCTTCTGTAATCCTCAATTTATTTCCCAGAATCCAGAATCTCTCATGGTTTGTCTTTCTCTGATTTCTTCCCATTCAGTTTTCCCTCCCTTCCCCTGTGGTCCTCCATGCTATTCCTTATGTTCCACTCCATATGAGTGAAACCGTATGATAATTGTCTTTCTCTGCTTGACTTATTTCACTTAGCCTGATCTCTTCCAGTTCCATCCATGTTGATGCAAATGGTAGGTATTCATCCTTTCTGATGGCTGAGTAATATTCCATTGTATATGTGAACCATATCTTTATTCATTCATCTGTTAAAGGACATCTTAACTCCTTCCACAGTTTGGCTCTTGTGGACCCCCAAGACATGATAAGCTTTCTTTTATTATTTGTTCTTACAGTTCTCAGTATTTCTAAGTTCTTCATAGAACTTATTAGAATTTTAGCTTATAAAGTCTACTTCTTGTGAGGTAGTTCGCTTAACTCCTATCTTCTCCCCCAAACTATAAAATAGCTCTATCTTTTTCTTTAAAAGAAAGATTTTATTTATTTATTTATTTGAGAGAGAGAGAGAAAGCACAAGAACAGGGTGAGGTATAGAGGTAGAAGCTAAGCAGGGAGTTGGACGCATAGTTCAGTCCCAGGACTCTGGGATCATCACCTGAGCTGAAGGCAGATGCTTAACCAACCCAGCCAGCCAGGCGCCCCTCTATCTTGTCCTTAATAGTCTATCCAACATCTAGTATAACGCCTGGAACAAAGGAATGCCTAATGCTCAATAAATATCTGTTAAAAGAAAATGTGGATGGAAGGATAGATAAGCAATCCTCATTATAACTTTCAGTCCTCTGCTCTGCTTGTTCAATATTCTCCCAACAAAAAAAAATAGTTGTTAGTGAACCACAAAAGAAGTTCTTATTTAAATATACCCCTCCATGAATTCAATAATGCTTGGAGGATCCCTTAATGTTAATGCCTCATACCGGGCTCTTCATCCCCCACTTTATTTAATTAAATAAATACTTGATGGGTTTCTCCTCTGGACCAAGCTATATGGAGGGAAAGAAAGTCATGTAAATAACGAGAAGACCATATGCTTAAAATAGAAAGATCTCTTACCCTCTAAATGCCTGTGTGAGCTTGGCAAAGTACCAGTTGAGCCTTTGGCTCCTTATCTGCCAAATAGAAATACCAATATCTATTTTGTGTGTTTTTTGGGGGGGTTATTAATAATGTAGGCAATGTGCCTGCCACATAGTACGTGCTCAAAAGATGGCAGTTGTTACTGCTGTCACTAGAAGGTAAGCTCCTAGAAGGCAGATTATACTTGCATTTCTAGTATCTTATATATAGAATACTCTTCAAAAAGGTTGGTTAAACTAACCAGCAATGGGAAGCGTAGCAGAATAAGTGATCCTTCTGAACTCCCGTGGGGCTTAAAAGATAAGCAAGAAAGTAAGTTCCAAGACAGATTCACGAAATATTTAGATAACAGTGAAATACAGTACTTACTATAGTTTATGATACATATGAGATTATAGGAACATATGTGTTCTAGACCATAAGCGCTTTACAAGGCCAGGCAGGAAATGATCAGAGGTGGCTGGCTGGAGTTATTGGGAAATGATAAGTTCACATGTTTGTGTGTGTAAGATCTATACCAGTGAGCCTCCTGTGAAAATGCTCTATTTCTTTGTCAAAATTGATGCTGGCTACAACCAGTGTTGGATAAAATGGATCAACCTGCTGCTTCTGTGTTATTATAATGGCAGACAAAATTGGGTTATTGATCTTGGGTAGCACCGTGTCTTTGTTATAGTAATGGCTGCTTTTTCCCCCTTTAACAATCAGAGGTTAGCTATCATCGCAAACAGGTTTTGATGATGTTGGGTAATGTTCCTCAGTATTTGGTGTATTATGTGAGAGTATACACTAGCCCTTCAAAACTGGAACATAGGCTCAAATCCATTTTCCATGTCTTTGTAGCAGGTTCAGCACCGGTTTTCAGTCGTATCCATCATCCATAATCATTATCTGGGGCTGTCCTTTCATCTTACCAAACTCTCTGCTTGCAGCTCTAAGAAACAGGGCTGAGATAGTGGGCATGAACAGAATGTTTCTTTTTTCTAGGATGGCTCTCCTTTTTCTTCTTAGGTGTCTTTCTAAAGATATTTACAAACACAGGGGCACTCCATTAAAGGTTTTTGATACACCAACATCCACACTGAAAGCTTCAGATACCTACTTACAGAATTGAGTGCAGCAATCACACTCAGTCCTGGCATTAGGAAGAGAGGAGAATACCATCTTTCACCCACTTCAAACCATGTGAGGATGATCCAGAATCGATCCGTACTAACTGGCAACCAGGCACACTTCAACCTGCCCAGAGTCTGCATCTGCAGAGACAAGTCCAGTCAAACCAGTTGCTCCCAGAGTAAACCGCTTGCCCCCAGACCTGCTTCAGAGTGAAGGGCCTGGAAGCCCTTGCCTCCCGCACCATATACACCCACAGGAACGTACCTGAATATTCTTATTCACAAGGACAGAGACCTGAATACAGAAACAGTGTGCTCGCACACACTCAAAAGTAAAAACACGTGTGTGGAATGAAGTTTTATTTGTTTGCTTGTTTAACTTAATCGGGGTCGGTAAATCTCACTTTCAGGACTCACAGGAGACCCCCGGAAAATTGGTTCGCTTTTCTCCGAGCCATTCGCAAACCAGTCAGTCCTTCAATCCTGGGTGTGTCTTCCGTGCGGATCAAGCAGCAACTTTGTGGCAGTCTTGTTGATCTTTTCAACTCTTTCCCCTGCTCTCCTTTAACTCCCAGAGGGCCGGGTGGTGCCGGCCTGGACGAGCACAGCTGACCGGACTCCAGTGCCCTCCCCGCTCCAGCCGCGCCGAGGGGCGGGGCCCAGCCGGCCGCCAGGAAATGCCCAGGAGTCTGTGTCACCTGCCCCCGACGATTTGTTGGTTCCCTGGAGCGCTGCCTTCTAGCGCAGGGCGCCCCCCGAGACCTGAGGACTGTCTCGCTTATCTGCTCCCCCGGCGCGGCCCAGGGAGCTGCTGAGACACTCCCGGGAACGCTCGCCCCTCTAATCCACAGCCATGAGCAAGCTGGGCAAGTTCTTTAAGGGGGGAGGCTCTTCTAAAAGCCGAGCCGCTCCCAGCCCCCAGGAGGCCCTGGCCCGACTTCGGGAGACCGAGGAGATGCTGAGCAAGAAACAAGAGTACCTGGAAAATCGAATCCAGAGGGAACTCACCCTGGCAAAGAAGCACGGCACGCAGAATAAGCGAGGTAGGCTTGGGGTCTGGCTGCAGGAGTGAGCTCTCACCCTTAGGCCTCCAGCTCTTTCCTTGGGGGCAATCAGGCCCACAGCACCTGTTCCCCAGGAGGCCAGGTTTACTCCCACAGCCTTTCTAGGAACTGGTATTGACCCCCAGGGCCAAAATTCTCGAGTCAGCTGAGCGAGGCACAATCCTGGATGGCAAAATGTTAGGGAGTTCCAAAGAAGACCAACAACAAAAAAGCTCAGAATTAACGTAAAAAAACCCAAACCAAACAAAACCAAACCAAAACAAACAAAAAAGATGATGAACAAAATATCAAAATTTTAAATAAAGACAGAATTGGTATTATTGTTTTTTTTTTCTTTTTACTTCTGGCTCTTACGACGTTCTACAAGGCCCTTTTTAACTTTCTTTAAAAAAAAAAGTGCTATTTTGTCCATCGTGAATTTTGTTGCGTTAATTTTGAATTATAAAAGCATTGCATTAAAATATTATTTATCTTGATTACTTTTTTTTGCCCCCCCTTACATTTTACTCCTGTCTTACCTTACCCTAGTCCAGCCCTGCTGACCTCAAATATCAAGTTTTCTGTTACGTGTTTATGTATATTGAATCACACATTTTAACTTGACTGGAAATCTTTTGTGAAATGTATTCTAGTATGTTCTGGTTTGCCTTAATCCTAAGCCATTGAAGAGTTTAGTTGGCTGTTCTGCAGTTGAGATATTATTTAAAAAAAAAACCCAAAAACTAAACTAAACATTATATTTCCTATCACTGGTTTTTACCACACAAAGGACTTTGAACCAGTAATGATTCTTGGTGCTCCTGTCTCACCTTGAACCCTTTGTTATTTTCCAGAGTTAATTGGTTTCTTTAGTGTACTGCTCTCTTTATAGAGAAGAGACGTAAACAATACAGTGACACATAAAAACCCAGGGAGAGGTTAAAGTGATTTGGTCTTGTAACACCAGAAATAAAAGTGGTTTTGTAATGGCAGACTCAGAAATAGAAGCGGCAGTCCAGGACTCTGCCCACCACCTAACCCTGAACTTGCATCCACAAGTCAGACTTCTTTAGTCGAAACAAAGCTCTGGGAAGATTTACTTAGCCCTAAATGATGCTGCCATTGTTTAATGCAGGAAAGGAATAATGCTTTCTTGAGTTGGCCTTGAAAACCCTGCCGCTTCCTATAAAAATGTGCCTGATACATTTGTGTCCACTTACTACCAACGATAAAAAGGCCAAGTTTCATTTTTCTCTGCTGCTGCTGTGCTACGATAGTCTAGCCTGTTTTAGAGTTAAATGCTGGTTTCTATTTTTACTTTTTGTCCGAAAATATTTTGGGAACCTAGTTAGTGGCAATTTCTAAAGAGATACCATGCTATTATGGCCTGCTAAAAGTCATGGCCAGTTCTGTTTCTCTGTTCTTTCTCTTCTGTTTGATATGCACTCTGAAATTTGCATAATGTCTGTCAAGGGTTGTCTGTCATTCTTTTGTGTCTGCATATCCCTTTATCTACAGTTGTGGCTCGGTAAATACTGGTTTAAAAAAAATCTTAAAAATTGAACATCTGCTTCTAGGAAGTGGTAAAAATGTAGATTTGCTTTTAGAAGACAAAAATGTAAGGTAATAAGCCTTTTATTTGTTTTTTTCAGAAATGTTCTCCAATTGTTAATGCACTAAAGTATACTACAAATTGGCTTTATTAAGACCCTCTCCCAACATTAAAGACAACATTAATTAAGAGCATCAATTTAACTTCCTTAAATCAGATAAGTAACAGATGCATGTATCATGTGCAAATAACCAATTGGGGTTAGAGAAGCCACTTATTCTTTACCGTTTATCCTTGGGTATTAGCCCAGGCCGGGTTCTACAGTGGTTCTGGGAGAAGAAGGAGGCTAGTTAGCATGAATTCATCTGTACTCTAAACTATGGAAAGAATTCAATCGCAGGCCCATGTATTAGAAACCTTGTCAATATCAGCATTTTCCAAATAAATCAGATAACTTCATGTACAGATAGTTTCTGTTTCCCATTAGCTACCAAGAAATATTTTCACATACACAGTGTAATCAGGCCCAATATAGTTAGTACACAATGGGCCTTGTGTTACACAAGGCTGTATGTTATACAAGACTATATATTGTGCTATAAGGTCTATAATTTATAATCTGAATGACACAATGTATGTGCAGTTAAAATTTTGCTTCTAGACATGGTTGGTCAGCTAGCATATACTGCCAAGAATAATAGGTTGAATGGCCAGCTAGCCCTGTATCAGAAAGAGCCACACTCCTGGTCATTACAAAGTCTTCAGTGGTCTATTTCTTCACAAAAACAGAAGCTTTGACAGCATTCTGAATGCAAAAAAATGGGACATTGGCTAAAATAGTTTAGAGACACCTCCTTGCTTCCCATTCCCAACAGGCTTACAAATCCACGAGGTGTATGATGAACTTAACATTAGAAGGGTAGTGAGGCTTGATCTCAGACGCGCCCCAAGTCCAGTTCTTGGTCCAGGTGTATTTCTGACAGAGGGTACCTCCCACAGGACTCAGCACCCTACAGGGGACGTTGTTGCCTTGAGTGAGCTTTTCATATGGGGTGTATCAGAGCCCCTGAAAGGATGAGTCAGGACTTCATTGAGCTAATGGGACAAGCTAACAAACTGTTTTTGCTTGCCAGTGTATGTTTGGTTATACAGAATTTAGTCTGAAACTTGCTCTCATTGTATCTCCATACCAAGTTGTGGAGGCATAGCTAATTCTTCTCATCTCAAACTTCTTCGGTAGTTACCGTAATCTACCAAAAAGAACCTGACTGTGCACCACAAAATTGGTTTTGCAACACCTATGATATTCAAGGCCCTGTTGATCTAAAAGATTAACACTTGGAGCAAGATTTATAGTTTGGTTAAAAGTTTTGGAGGTCAGTGAGGGTGGAGATGGGGTAACTGGGTGATGGGCATTAAAGGGGGCGCTTGATGGAATGAGCGCTGGGTATTATATGCAACTGATGAATCACTACATTCTACCTCTGAAACTAATAAAAAAATTTTTTTCTAGTAGTCATATTAGAAAAAGAAAAAAGAAAAAAAGTTGGAGGTTGGAGATTCTTTAATGCAGTTTATGTAGATTACCCCGCTTTGTAACTGGTCATCTGCTTTGTGGAAAAGCAAACTTTCTACAGACCACTTAGTTTTTTTCTCTTGAGTGCTGTCATCAAGAGCAGTTTTCTTTTCTTTCTTTCTTTCTTTTTTTTTTTTTTAAGATTTCATTTATTTATTTGACAGAGAGAGATCACAAGTAGGCAGAGAGGCAGGCAGAGAGAGAGGAAGGGAAACAGTCTCTCTGCTGAGCAGAGAGCCCAATGCAGGGCTGGATCCCAGGACTCTGGGATCATGACCTGAGCCGAAGGCAGAGGCTTCAACCCACTGAGCCACCCAGGTACCCCCAAGAGCAGTTTTCAATCCTGGCTGTATATTAAGTCACCCTGCTGCGGGGTCCCAGTCCCATAGATTCTGATATAAATGATGGGAGTGAGGCTCAGGCACCAGTATATTTTAAAAGGTGCCCCCAGGGGGTGCTTGGGTGGCTCAGTCTGCCTTTGGCCCAGGTCATGATCTCAGGGTCCTGGGATCTAGTCCTGCATTGCACTGGGCTCCCTGCTCAGCGGGGAGCCTCCTTCTCCCTCTACCTCCCCCCCCAACCCCTCCCCTGCTCATGATCTCGCTCTCTCACTCTCTTTCTCTCAAATAAATAAAACGTTGAAAAACTAAATAAAAATAATATCACTAGGAGATGGCCGTAGGTTATCTTTTGTTTAAATATAATGTTCTGATCCAGGTTTTACACATTTGATAGGAAGTAATTTAGTGTTGTAGTCAGGAGCCTCGGCTTCAAAGCAGACAGACCTGGGATTGATTCCTAGCCTTGCCCTGTGGCTTAGACATTGTGTGGCTTCAGACTGCTTACTAGGCCCATCTAATTCTCAATTCCCTCATCTGCACAATTGTGAGGATAAGACTGATCCTCAGAGTTGTCTGGATTAATGACATTATTGTATAAAACTCTTAATTCAGAGCTCCAAAAATATCGGCCATTGTAATAACAAGTATTTTCTTTTTCAGCTAAAATTGGCTTCCTACTAAATTCCATTTACTGGTTCAAATTTTGTCTTCTGGAATAACAGGATAAATCTACTCCACCTGTCATGTGAATACCTTTCACATATTTGAGGACAACAGTCATTTCTTTGTGTCTCCTGTTCTCCTCGACTCCATCAGTCACCTCTCAATTACCCCTTACTGTGCTGAGGTTGGCTTCCCAGGGCCGGGTCTAGGGGGAGGTGAGAGACCCCTAACACACACTTTTGTGACCCTGAGAGTGATTGTCCCCTTAAATTTACATCCTAGGTGTCTCTGTTACTTACCTCGTCCTAGGCTGAGCAGGAACATCAAATATGTAATTACGTGGAGAGGGATGGATCCAGAATGGGTTACCCATAGGCCTTAGGCTATGGGAAGTGGGCTGAGAGAGAGGAAAGGGTGACACCAGGAAGGAGTGAATTCGGCCATAACCCCTCCTCAAGATCATTACATGTGATTCTGGTGAATCCTGGCAGCTGAAGCCCTTCCACCTCTTCATCAGGTATCTGATGAATGAGACCCTAAGGCAGAATCTTTTATTGGAGTAAGCCAGCTCACTCTGAAGCCTGGGATTTTTTATTTTTTTTTTTTCCCCCCGGGGAGTTGGTGGGGGAAGGCTGAATTTGCTTTCAGAGTCTGACTTGGTCTTCCTTGGAGTTGAGGGTGTGACCATGATCCCATTGATTTAGCCTGGACTCTTAAGCTTGCTTTTTACTATAGTCGTCACAGAACTGAATTCTGCAGTCTCAGACAACGGGGACCAGAAGGATTTCTGTATAAAAAGAATCACATCTGTGTCAGTTGTGTGTCAGCTTTGCACCAAAGTAGTGAGGGCACAGCATGTGTGGCTCAG